TAATAATAAAATAAATAATAAAATACAATATCAGAATAATAAACTAATAAAATAATAAACTGTTCTATAACAATAGTAAAAAAAAAATAATTCTGATTATATCATTATTTTTTCTGTCATAATGAGCTTTTTTCTAAAATATTCTGCTAATATTTGTTATATATAACTTGTTAATTGTTTATTGTTGTCATTTGTTGTTATTATTTATTATGTTTTTTTTATTTTCTTTGTTTTTATTTGTTATATAGTTTTTGATATATTTTCTTTATTTATTTTTTATTATATAATATAGATCTTGTATTATCTAAACAGATCTGTATTATAGAATCAAGACTAATTTCTTAAAAATTTTGCAAAATGCAAAAATTATTAATGATTTTTTATATTTTGTATCATTATTATAATAGTTTGTAATATTATTATTTTATTTTGTAATATTATTTTATAATATTATTATATGTTATTATCTAAATTATAGTATAATTTAAGTTTTATCTTTTTTTCAAAGCAAAGAGATATCAATATATGCTTTACATATTATTCTTTGATTATTTTAATTATTTTTAAATATATTTAACTCTTTTTTTTGATTATATTCTTGTGATAAAACCTTGTTGTCTTAGTAATAAACTGTTATTATTTAGTATTTTTATAATATTTTTATTGTATTTTTATAGTAAAATTATTATTTTTCTTTTAATATTTTGATTTATACTTAAGTAAACTTAGTTATTTTTAATTTATTATTTAGGTATTTTATTTTTTTATTTTAATTTTAAGTTTTTATTCTATTTTTCTTGTTTAAACATATTTTTTAACTACTTTTATATTTTAAATCAAATAATATTTTTGTTTAACTTAACTGATAAATTTATTATTGAAATATTTATAATTTGGTTAAACCAAGTAAGCATATTACAATAAAATATATAAAAATATCTAAAATTTTCTAATTGTATAAAAAAAATATTGTAATAAAATTTACTAAATACTAGCAAACTTTAGCAAATTTTAAAAAATATAAGTATCAAGTAAAAGATCTTTTATTTAAAGAAAATAAGAAAAAACAAAAAAGAAAAATATAAAACAAAATTTAAATTTAATAGCTTTTTAGATACTATAAGGTGATTAGCAATAGGTAATTATATTTAGTATTAAACCTATTAGCCAGTTTGTATAGATCAGATATAGCAAGTGCTTGCCTTTTACAAGAATTATTAGACTTTAGAACTTAGAAATATCCTTAGATATAACCAAAGAAAAAAAAGCATTAATAATCAAACTGTTAATAACTATATGATCTTTAAATCTTAATAATATAAAGCTAGTATTTGCCAAAATACTATTAACGAAGTTAGCCTTTACTTTATATTATTATCAAGAAAAAAATAAAAAAAATAATAATAAAAAAAATAAAATAAATAAAATAAAAAAATAAATAATAGTTTTTATTGATAGTGTCAAAAAAATAATAAATAAAATATAATTTTATTAAAAAAATTTTAAGGAGAGACAACTCTGCTTTTTAGAAAAACAAAAAGCTACATTTTTTATAATTTTTTAAACCAATATTTAATTGATTTTAAGGCTACCATGTGTTGTAATATATTTTTAAATACTCCAAAATATTTGAAAAACTTTAATTAACAATATAGAAAATCCAAGTAAAATTTTTCAAAACACTAATAAACAATGCCGAGCTAATATCAAGCAAAATTATTTCTATTACTCAATAAGTTATATATTAACTAAAATAAAATATATATTATTATTTAACTCTTATATTGATTTACACAATTTATTATTTGATATTTAAAACCTTCTTAAATATATTGTCCTATAATTAACTAAAAATAACTATAATAAAATATAAGAAAAATATAAAAAAATATACTAAAATATAATATATACTAAAATAATAATAAGAAATAATAACTAAATATAATATATAAATACATATAACAATAACTAAAAGAAAAAATAAAGAAAAAAATTCTATTACAATATGATCATTTATCTAAATTTGATAATATTGCTGTAAAAATTAACTATTCCAAAAACATCAAAAATTTTGTACACCAATTAGCTTTCAAGAACAAATATAATGTGAAATTATACACTTTTTTAAAAATTGGTTGTAGCTCAAAATCTTGTCTATAAAACTGCTTTTTGTATTCTAACAAAAAAATTTCTTACCAAATTTTGATATATATTTTACCCTAATCTTACTCTAAAACTAACTCTAAAGTTGAGATTCTTTTACTTAATTGTTTTGATTGGTTTGATTTCACGTTACACATGATCTCAAAATCTGATTGGCTGATTTTTTGAAATGTTCTTGGAGTATTTGGAGTATGCATAAATTTGAAATTATTTATACAAATTTGGAAATCAATAAATAAAATCCGTATCCCTAGTAGGGTTGGAGGCATGGCAAATTTTTGGGGCATGCCTTTGCGAAGGGCATGCCCTTCTATGCCCAGGGCATGCCCTCTATAGATATATATATCATATATTATCGTAATTAGCAATAGTATGCTTTAATTCTAATTGGCCAATTTGATAATTGACCAATTATATAATAGCCCTATATCACATGATAGGGGCATGCCTTTTGGTCAAAGGGCATGCCCTAGGCATGCCCCCAACCCTAATCCCTAGGGTAAATATAAGAATTTCGCCCCCACATGACTATTGACCAATAAAAATCCTGATTTAGTGTAACGTAACACGATCAGAAAAAATTCATCTTTTTTGTAAAAATCGCAAGAATTTGCACCTTTCGTTTACTAACAAAAAGTTTTCCTTACGCGATTTTACTATAAATTCTAACGCCAATCTGGGCGCTAACCCTAAAATAAACGAATTAAAGAATTTTTTTTGGGGCGAAATTTTTTATGGGTAGTTCTGTCACCGGTGACGACAGAGATAATAAAAATATAGACAAAATTTTGTCCATAATGTATATTTTTCTAACCAACCCATTCGTTTTAAATAATTTTTGCAATGCTCGATCATTTTTTTGTGAGCGTATGTACTTGGGAATTTAAATGAATTATTAAATTATTGTGCATTTGCAATTTGAATCCGGTCAAGCAGTGGCTTTGCTTTGCTTATTAGAATAACGGCACGGTGGTCTATTGGCTTATAAATGACATGGCACCAGTATACATAGGCGAAGTATCGATTCGGTTTGGTCAGCATTAGTCGTAAGCCAAGCCGAGCGCTTACGTCGAATTCCATGGATCCTATCGTTTTCATTTACTAGTCGTTTAGCGATTACGCTATACACATCATAATTATTCCACGTGATATTATCTCAACGTCATATCTAGCCTAAGTACAACCTTTGAATTACAGGCAATGCGATTATGAACAATTAAAGGTGATATTAAAGGCGATGCGATTATGAACAATTAAAGGTGATATTAAAGGCGATGCATAACTAAATACGTGGCTAAAATAAGATAGCGATAGAAATGTAGAGCAGCTAATAAATTATATACACAGACGAGTAAATCGAAATACAGAATACAGTATAGGAAATGTAACAAATGAAGTGTAGCAAGAAACAATCAAGAAAAAATGGTTATATCGTAAAAGAAAAATTTTGAAGTATGTACTTTGAATTATAAAATGTTATATTGTATATTTATGAATAATCAAATATGAATACTTTGAAAAAGGTAATAATATGTTATGTGAATAAGTAAATAAATAAATCATTGAAAGTATGAACCCTAATGATTGATAAAATCACGAATATAAAAACGAAAAATTAAAAAAAATTTGGCGGTTTTTAGGTTGATACTATTGACAAAAAATGGGACGGAATTGGTGATTATCCGAAAAATCGATTTTCAAAACCAAATTGCGTAATAATGACATCGTTCAAAAAAAGGGAAAGGTCGCAACCTTATCACCTAGGACGATATCAAACATAACCATCTGGTCTAACATTATCACGTTCCACATTTTCTAGCCTTTCTCTGGCTCTCCTTTCTCTGTCCCTTCTTCGTTCCTTCAATAAAGCGTCACGCCTAGACCTATGCAAGTCTTTTATAGCCCAGTAAATCATTCTATCAGGAGCATCAAGTGGAGGATGTTGTTCACTAAGGTAAACTTTAAAGGCACGGTAGTGACGACGAGCGTAGGGTATAAATCTAGTCCAAGTGTATGTACCTCTTGCTAGCATACCAGGCGGACGTTCACGGGTATAACTTAAAAGTTTACTCTACAAATATAAATATACATGTTAGAATAAACAAAGATAAGCATAGACGTAATATAAATAAAGAATGCAAAGTACCTTGACTTTAGAAAGTAATCTCAAGTCACCCAAGTTTCTAATATTATATCTGGTAAGATCTAAAGATGATACCAAATTTAAAGATCTTAATAGTCTTCTTGTGTCTTCACTTTGAAAATCAATTTGTTCAAAGTCATCTCTTCTAGAATTTCTATTCATTTCTAATAATTTTTTTAACAAAAATAATTAATAATAATAATAAATTTAATAAATAATCAAATAGTAAATATTAAAAAACTATTATTTTTTTTACAATCAAAAAAAAAAAAAAACTTACTTCACCTTTGGTGTTTTTTTTTTTTTGTTCAGACCCCATATTTATATCTTTTTTTCGGATTTCAAACTCCGAATTGTGTAATCATCAAATTATCAAATAAGGTATAATGCGAATATTTGTGGTGGTACTTGGGGGAACTTGGGGGAACTTGGGGTATTTTGGGATACTTGTGGTACTTGAGGTTGAGATACTTGAGATACTTGAAGTACTTGAGGTAGCAATTATTAATTGCTTAACATGTAACTATTGTTGTTGTGTCACAATAACAATACTTTAAACAATATCTTGATAGGTACGATACTTTAATAATAAATGATACGTAAGCTTAAATACCTTAATAACGATACTTTCCACGTTTAAAAACAATTTAAAGAAATATAATTTTTTCTATAACAATTCTTTACTGCGCATAGTAATATTTCGGTGACGGTTGGTGTCTTATAATTTACAAGGAGACTAAGTAACTAACTAATTTTTTTCTAACATCCGTTATAAGATGATAATTTCTATCTATTAAATTTATTATTATTAAGATTTATCGTTATCATATGAGTGCCGCCAAGGGAAAATGTCCCTCTGTAAATTATAGTATATTATTAATTATTTATCTGATTCAGCCC